GAGACAGGGTTTCTCTGTGTAGCTTTGTGCCTTTCCTGGATCTCGCTTTGTAGACCAGGCTGGCCTCGAACTCACAAAGATCCACCTGCCTCTGCCTCCTGAGTGCTGGGATTAAAGGCGTGTGCCACTACCACCGGGCCTAAGATTTATTTTTATTGGCTTTTAAAAATTCTTCAGCTGGGCAGTGGTGGCACACACCTTTAATCCCAGCACTCAGGAGGCAGAGGCAGGTGGATCTTTGTGAGTTTGAGGCCAGCGTGGTCTACAGAGTGAGTTCCAGGACAGCCAGGGCTATACAGAGAAACCCCAACTCAGAAAAAACAAAAAAAGCAAAAAAACAAAAAACCTTCATATGTGTGTTTATGTACACATGAGTATTTGCATGTGAGTGTAGGTGCCCGTGGAGGCCAGGAGAAGGTTTTGGATCCCCTTGGAGCTGGAGTGACAGGTGGTTGTGAGCTGCTGGGAATGGATTTGGGTCTTCTGCAAGGGCAGTGTGCTGTTTTCCTTGCCGAGCTGTCCGTCTCTCCAGCCGAAGCCTGACATTTCTAACATGGAAGACTAGTGAGGTCAGTTCTCCGACTACATTCGACCGTCTGTCTCTTCCAGAATGACGTCAGTGACAAGCAGTCAGCTGTGAAGATGAAGATGTTTGGGAAGCTCACCCGAGACACGTTTGAGTGGCACCCTGACAAGCTTCTGTGTAAGAGGTTTAATGTCCCTGACCCTTATCCAGGGTAAGTTGGATTAGTCTGTCTTTACATCAGTAAAAACTGTAACTGCTCCATTTTTAGACTTATTTTATGTGTTTGCCTGCACATGGGCATTGAATCCCCTGGGACTGGAGTTACAGATGGTTGTGAGCCACCACATGGGTACTGAGAACTGAACCTGGGTCCTCTGTAAGAGCAATCAGTGCTCTTAACCACCGAGCCTCCCCGCCCCAGTAAGGCTCGTTTTATACTCTTGCGTTCCCTGTGTCTGGAGGAACTCAACTGTTAAGTATTGGGAGCTCTGAAGGCTGCACACTCACTTCAGCTTCTCTTTAAATTTTTTCTTGTGTTTTTGTTCATCTCTGTATTTTGTATGCATCTCTGTGTGTGTACGTGAAGACTCAAGGGACAAAAGAGAGCGTCAGGTCCCCTGGAGCTGCAGCTACAGGACATGGGTGCTAGGAACCCAGCCCAGGGCCTCTGGAAGGGCAGTGAGCACTGTTAACTGCTGAGCCGTCTCTCCAGCCCTCCTTTAATTTTGATTCATGTGTCTGTGCGCTGGCCACATATATTATGACCTGTTAATCCATTGCTAAAATACAGGTAAACTTTATTCCGTGTCTTAATGACTTCATGTGTCCGTCCCGCCCCCCCAAGACAGGGTTTCTCTGTGTGGCCCTGGCTGTCCTGGAACTCACTCTGTAGACCAGGCTGGCCTCGAACTCACAGAGATTCGCCTGCCTCTGCCTCCCCAGTGCTGGGATTAAACATGTGCCATTTTTTTTTAATGATTCTCATACATTTTACTTTAAAAACGTTACTTACAGCTGGGCATGGTGGTGCACGTCTTTGATCCCAGCACTTGAGAGAGGCAGAGGCAGGCAGATCTCTGTGAACCCGAGGTCAGCCTGGTCTATGTAATAGAGAGCCTTTATGTCAAACAGCAATAACAAGTGTTATTTGTGTTTTCGTTTCCCTCTGTGTGTTTAGAAGCATGCTAGGATCAAACACATGGCCTCGCACATGCTAGACAAGCTCTCTGCCACTGGGCCCCCCTTCAGCCTAATACCTTTTTTTTTAAATTCCCTTTATAAACCTTTATAAGTGACTCAGGGGCTAGAGCACTGGATACTCTTGTAGAGGACCAGGTTTGGTTCCCAGCAGCCACATGGTGGTTCAGTTGCAGGGCGATCTGCTGCTCTCTTCTGACCTTCACGGACACCAGGCACATGTATGATGTACATCTATCTATCCATGCATACATGTAGACAAACACTCACACATGAAATGAATAACTCAGTTAAAACCACAGGGTTAGCTTCTTATTATTAAAAACATTCCCAGGGAGCATGTGCTGTAGAAAGCTCTAGTCCTTATTCTTTCTTTCTTAAGACAAAAATCTCTCAGTTTAGACCAGGCTGGCCTTGAACTTTCAGAGACCCATGTGCCTCTGCCTCTTGTGTGTTGGGATTAAAGATGAGCGCCACCAGGCCCAGCAGTCCTTACTCCAGGGTTCTAAAGTCAAGGGTTCTGCCTTCCCGAGCTGCTTTGAGAAGTAGAGATGACTTGAGACCCGTGGCCTAGCTGGAGAGCCAGTGAGAGATAGCAAGGCTCTTAGGAAGAGGGCTTCATCGAAGCTGTTGTTATTAAAAGTCCATCTCGGCCGGGCGGTGGTGGCGCACGCCTTTAATCCCAGCACTCGGGAGGCAGAGGCAGGCGGATCTCTGTGAGTTCGAGGCCAGCCTGGTCTCCAAAGCGAGTTCCAGGAAAGGCGCAAAGCTACACAGAGAAACCCTGTCTCGAAAAACCAAAAAAAAAAAAAAAAAAAAAAAAGTCCATCTCTTTCCATTCTTACCCCCAGCTCAACGTTAGTCGGCCTACCCAGAGTGAAGCGGGATAAATACTCAGTGTTTAACTTCCTGACGCTCCCAGAGCCAGCCCCTCCACCCACAGCTCCAGCACCCAGTGAAAAAGCCGCCCAGCAGCGGGGTCCTGACAGTGAGTAGAGCTCCCTGGGTCCAAAGCACTGACCCGGGTCTCAGCCCCTCATGGGCTGGAAGGCAGAGAGTCATGGGTGGTCCAGCCCTCCGTACGATCACGATGCAGACTTACCCCTTGAGATGGGCTTGCATCGGCCCATTGGCCATCAGTCAGGCCAGGTCCGTGTCTAACCTTAGCGCTTGGGTCTGTGCCTGTGCTACCCCTGAGCCTGGCCGTCCAAGGTGTCCTGAGGCTCTGAGCAAATGGAAGGCCAGTCTTGAAGAATTTGCCTTCTCTTCACTAATTCTAGTGTTCTGTCGGGTTCCTGCCTTTTAGAATCCAGGAAACCATCACGATGGGACACATCCAAGCAGGAGAAGAAGGATGATTCCATTAGTGAGTTTTTAAGTCAGGCTAGATCAAAAGTTGGGCCACCGAGACAAGAACCCAGCGCCCCGGGAAACAAAGAGGAGGACCGAGCCCCGGAGCCACACCCAGACAAGGTACGGAGCCTGGGTTGTCTGCTGCAGCTGTGGCCTGGGCCCTCCTCTGTGTGATGTGTCCTCTGCTCAGTAGTGGGGCCAGCAGACCTCTGCTGTGCAGAGTGCTGTGGTAGGTGGTTGAGGCCCCGTGGGCTGAACAGCCTCTGCTGCAGCTCCCTGTTCACAGTGAGTGTGAGGGGGACCACAGGCAGGTGTGTCACTAACTGAGGACACTGTTCCTGAAGAAGTTAGCTCATGGAAACCAACAGCACATGGATGTGCCCCTGGCTTGTGCCTGGCCTGAGCCCATTGGATAGACGCACAACTTGCTTCCTCTGGCTAGAGCAGCTCTTGCTTAGCGTAAACCATCGAAACCAAACTTAATGTGTTCATGAGGAGACACAACTTTCCAAATAATAAGTGGTCATTTGTGGCAGAGATACCCCTGGGTGCTCTTGTTTAGTTTACTTTGCTTTTTGTTCATTTGTGGGTCAGAGGACAACCTCCAAGAGTGGGGTTGTCCTTCTATCTTCTGTCTCTCCTTCTGTCATGTGGAGCTGCGGATTGAACTCAGGTCGTCAGGCTGGGCAGCAAGTGCCTCTGCCCTCTGAACCATCTCACCAGGCTGCTTTGTCTTGAGAGACAAGGTCTTACTGTGTAGGCAGGGTGGCCCTGAACTCTGCAGCTTCCTGCTTCAGTGATCTTACCCACTGAGCCTTCTCTCCAGCCCCTAATTTATTTATTTATTGTAATTCATTCATTCATTCATTTGTTTATTTACTTACTTATTATTTTTTTTAGATAGGGTTTCTCTGTGGTATCCCTGGCTATCCTGGAACTAGATTTGTAGGCTAACCTGGCCTTGAACTCATGGAGATCCACCTGCCTCTGTCTCCCAAGTGTGGGATTAAAGACTCACCTGGCTTAATTTATTATTTTTTAACTTTTTTGTTGTTGTTTTTTCGAGATAGGGTTTTTCTGTGTAGCCCTGGCCATCCTAGAACTCACTCTGTAGACCAGGCTAGCCTCGAACTCAGAGATCCACCTGCCTCTGCTTCCTGAGTGCTGGGATTAAAGGCATGCGCCACTATCGCCAGGCTTTCTTAGTATGTCTCTTAGCATTTGCTCTGGGGAATGTAGTACCTGCATCTTCTCAGATCTTCTGTGGATCAACCACCTTAAGGAGATAAGGACCTCCCGCTCCACAGCCTCCTTTCACAATAAACTGTTTTCCATGCACATGAACTGACAAGCTCTTCCATGATGTCATGCTTGCTTTCCATCATCCATGTGTTTAGACAGGCCAATGGCGAGATTACATCATTTTGATTACTCAGCTGTTAACTGCTTCTGATGGTCCTTCTCCATCCTCTGGGTCCTACATCTCCCTTCCTGTTCCTCCTGAGGAACCTCCCCAAGCACATCTTTCTTTTTTTTAAAGATTTATTTATTTATTATGTATACAGTGTTCTGCCTGCAGGCCAGAAGAGGGCACCAGATCTCATTACAGATGGTTGTGAGCTACCACGTGGTTGCTGGGAATTGAACTCAGGACCTCTGGAAGAGCAGTCAGCCAAGCACATCTTTCATCACAGAGCTGACAGCTTATCGCCTTAAATTTCCTCACTTCAGAATGACTTGTATTTTGTCTTCATTTCTGAGGATTGTTTGTTTTTGTTAGATATACAGTTTTTGTTGAAAATATTTGGGGGGCTGGGGATGTAGCTCCTCAGCTAAGTTGTCAGAGCTGGCATTGAACTTGGAGCCCTATGCAAGCCAAGCACGCGTTCTGCCACTGAGCTATGTCCCCAGACCCTGAGGACTCCTCTGCTCCTCTCCTTAGTTCCTTCCGTGGTGATGTGAGAATGGCAGTACTTAGAAGAGGGTATTATTTGTTTGGACTCAGGTTTCAAATGGTTCAGCCTATGCTGACCTGCCTCTGTGTGTCTGGGCCTGAGCACCATGCCCTGGGAGCTGGGGTGCAGGCTGCTTACCTGGCAGCCAGGAAGCAGGAGGGGAAGGGGGAGAGGAAAAAAGGAGAGAGGGGGTGTGGGGAGGAGAGGAGGTCCAGAATAGGACAGAACCTCTCTGGATCTACTTCCTCCAAGTTCTTAAAAGAGCATCAGCAGCTGGTGTCTCAGGGTTTCTATTGCTGTGAAGAGACACGTGACCACGGCAACTCTTATAAAGAAAACATTTCATTGGAGGGCTTACAGTTTCAGAGTTTCAGTCCATTATCTTCATGGTGGGACATGGCGGCATGCAGGCGGACATGGTGCTGGAGAAGCAGTTGAGATTCCTATGTCTTGAGTCTAGGCAACAGGAAGTGGTCTGTCTCACTGGGCATGACTTAAGCATACATGAACCCTCAAAGCCCACGTCCACAGTGACACACTTCCTCCAAAAAGGCCTCACCTCCTAATAGTGGCGCCACCTTTGGGGGCCATTTTCTTTCAAACCACCACAGCTGGGGACCCAGCATTGAACACCTACAGGGGCGGTTCACAGTCAAACCATGGTGGTCTTGGGATTCTAATGACAGAATCATTAAGATCTTTGGATGGTATCCTGCAAGTTTCTGTTCATTTTTGTTAATTTCTCTTTTCTTTTCCCCTCCATTGTTCAAAGTGATGCATTTTTTGGTTGAACTGTTTTCAACTTAGTAGACTTTCCAGTGTTGTCTCCGTTCTGCTGTGGAGTACAGTGATGAGTTTTGTTTGTTTGGGGTATTGCCTGGGGTTTTGCTGTGTTGCCCAGCTGGTTTCCAGTGCCTGGGCTCCCGTGATTCTCTAATCCCATGTTCCCAGTAGATGAGACTGTAAGCACATGTCTCCGCAATGAATTGAAAGTTTTTGATTCTTATATTTTCCACTTCTAAAATATCCATCCACCACCACCCCCCCCCTTTTTTTTTTTTTTTTTTTTTTGCTAAGACTTTAAATGAAATCTTATTTATTTGACCTTTATTTTTAGAGCACAGTTATAACAACTACTTGGAGAAGTATGAAGCCGGGTGTGGTGCACACACACCTTTAATCTCACCACTCAGTAGGCAGAGACAAGCAAATCTCTGTGAGTTTGAGCCCAGCCTGGTCTATATAGACAATTCCAGGCCATCCAAGGCTAATAGAAACCCTGTCTCAAAAAAAGAAAAACCAAAGTCTGGTAAAGCCAACTTTTCCGCCATTTCAGTATTTGTTTCTAACGTTGTGGTGTCCTCGGGGGACCACAGACCACTGTGGTGTCATTTCTGCTGCTGTGACACATTACACATAATTAGCAGAAAGGGGACATTTCCAGGTCACAGTCCACTGCTGAGGGCGGGGACTCAAGCCTCAGGTCACAGTCACACACACACACACACACACACACACACACACACACACACACACACACACCATCAGGAGCAGAGAGAATGAGTATCCCAGCTTGCTCGCTGCTCTTACACGGTCCAGGCCCCCAAACCCCACCTCTTCCTTCTGTCTTCCTGCCTCAGCACTCATCACTCAGGCTTGTTTAAGAAGTACCCTAAGCTATTACCGAGCAGGTTTGTGGCCATTTTAAACCCTGTGTCCTGGCTTCCTTCTTGCTGTGTGCAGAGGCGCCAGCTTTCTCTTCAGCATGTCCCCGCTGCTTTTATTTGCATTTCTGAGACAGAAATGCACTCTATACTCCAGGCTGGCTTCAAAGTGCAATCCCCCTGCCTCTGCCTCCCCCGTGCTGGGACTGCAGTTGTCCCACTACAACTGGCTTCCTGATTAGTTTAATATTGGACACCGAAGGCCTGGGTGGACTCTTGAAACTACACAGGCATTGTGGTCAACTTCATCTCTCTGGGTCCTCTGCAACCTGTTGATGGCCAGGCTCCAAGAAGGCCTCAGCTGCGAATGCTTCCTGAGCATATTCTAGAGAGCCCTGCAGAGAGGGAGATGCTGCAGCTCAGTTAGGCAGTGGTGGTGGAGACCCTAAACCATTTTTAAAAAATGTGTATGAGTGTTTTGCCTGCATGCACATGTGTACTATGTGTGTGCGGTACTTGCCGAGGCCAGAAGAGGACTTCTGATCCTTGGGTACTGAAGTTACAGGCGGATGTGAGCTGTCATGGAAGAGTAGCCAGTGCTCTTAACCGCTGGGCCATCTGTCCAGCCCCTAAGGCCAATCTTAACTGTCTGCTCATGTGCGCGTGTGTTCCAAAGCATCGAGTCCCTTTATTCCTGACTGCTATTTCTCTGTTAACACAGACTGTAGACAAAGGTGTGGACACACAGATGGACGGGGAAGGTAGTCGCCCTTCCATGGATTTATTCAAGGCCATCTTCGCCAGTTCTTCTGATGAAAAGTCCTCTTCTGAGGAAGAGGAGCAAGACGACAGTGAAGAGAGTCAGGAGCACACTGAGGAGGCCAGCTTTAAAAGTGCCCCGGAGGCTGCCGCTGGGGAGACCTCTGTGACCCATGGTATGGTCACCTCCCTGACTTGGGCACTGGGGGTTAGGTGTGGTCTTGCTTGCTTGTGGTGAGACAGGCTGGTGGGAAGACCAGCTGGCCTTGAACCTCCAGAGGCTGGGTTGGGACCTCTGATCCTCCTTTCTCTACCTCCCAGATCCTGGGACTACAGGCTTGCACCACATTTGGCTTTCAACCTTAAACTAGGACACTTAACAATTAGCAATTAGTGATATCTCATACACATGTGTGCACATATATGCGCCCCCCCACACATATGCATGTGTATGCATGTATATATGTATGCTAGTGTATGCAGGTATGCACATGTGTGTGCATGCACACTGGGGCCAGAGATCAGCCTTCAGTGTGTCTCCTGAGCCAACCACCTTGCCTTTGGGTGTCATGCCTCCATAAACAACTGCTTTGCTTTTTGAGATGAGGTCTCATGGTAGCTGGGGCTCACCAGGTTGGCTAAGCAGCCTGGCTCTCAAACCCCGGGATCCCACCTGTCCCAGCACTGAAATTACAAGTGCACGCCATTGTACTGGACTTTTAATGTGGGTTTTGGGCTCAAACTCAGGTCCTCTGCCTGTCTGAGGGACCGAGCCATCCCTCTGGCCCTTTCATCATTATATTTTAATTTGTGTGAGCGGAGTCTTGGGTAATCCCGTTTATATCTCTGATGTGTATTTTAAAGATAGTTGTGTTTGATAACGTTGATTTCCCAACTTAGCCTAGTTAAGAAGGATTGAAAAAGTATAATTTTTCCTTTAAAGATTTTTTCTTAAGGGTTGTAGGTGGAGCTCAGTATCTAGCATGGGCAAGACCCTGGGTTCTTTCTCTTTCTACCTGGCTGCTGAGGGAGTGTTAGGTTCTCGGAAAGCACGTGGTCCCAAGGCACACGGGATGTTGAGGTTCCACTGTCTGTGGAAGGCGGTGTGCTTGGCTGGCTCAAGCAGGCATGGCCGCCATACTGACCCTTCCTAAGAGGGTCTGCTCTCATTTCCTGGCTCCACAGTCGCCCAGGAGACTGTTCTGTGCACCTCTCTGAGCATTCCAGACAGAAAAAGAGAGGCCATCTGAAGTAGGAGAACTCTGGGATGCTGGAGCAATGGGCAGTTTTCCATCTGCATCTTGGGAAATTGATACAGCCGCATCTAAATCCTGAGGCCCTTAACCAGAAAGTCACACAGGGATATGGTACAATATTTAGTTTTAGATGATTACAATATTGGTTTCTTTTTTTCCCCCTGTGGATAAACCCTCATTGTTTTTAACTGTACAGTCATGTACACTTGAAATCTAAAAGCTTAAAAGTAGGCTGGGCATGGTGGTACACACCTTAAACCCCAGCACTCAGGAGACAGGCAGGTGGATCTCTGGGTGTTCAAGGACAGCTTCGTCTACATAGTGAGTTCCAGGACAGCCAGCAGTACACAGTGAGACCCTGTTTCCAACAAAAAATGGTAAAGAGTATAGAGCTGGCATATAGCTCAGTAGTAGAGTGCCTGCCTGCCATGCACAGGGCCCTGGGTTTGATCCCCAGCACCACATAGACTGTACAGGGCCCAGAACTGGTGTAAAGATCTGAGTGCATGCCCCTGGCTACAGTGGCTTCCTGTGGACAACCTGCCATGCACTTGGTTCTGTGTGGCCTGGTATAGCTGACCTCCCAGCTCCAGTGTCCACAGGCAGAGGTGGCCGCCACCATGTTTATCACTGGCTGCTCAGCCCTGGCTGCTTTAGGAGAGCGAAGAAAGTGCAGCATTTGGTGGCAAAGACACAAGACTCAGATGCATCAGCACCGGGCAGATGGGTGACATTAAAACACTGTTTTTCAGCTGCTGAACCAGGGCCTTGTGAGCCTGCAACCCCCTTCCCCATCCAAAAGGTACAGATCGATGAGCGAGAAGAGTTTGGACCTCGGCTGCCTCCCGTCTTCTGCCCCAGTGAGTCCACACCCCACGTGCCGCCCCTGCAAAGGAAGAGCACCAATAATGTCCCACCTGACTCCACGGCCACCAAGTGTTCACATGTGTTTCTGATTACAGTCACATCTGGACACCTGCTGCCTCCACTGAGTGCCTGAACCAGTTGTTTCTTTACAGTATCAAAGCTCAAAACGTCCTTTCCTTCTCAGCTTTGAGATGTTCGAAGCATCTCAAATGTTGTCATTTTACAGGGCTGGTATGGTGCTATAACCCCACCACTCAGGCACTGAGACGAGGGTGACAAGTTTGCAGCTAGTCAGCCCCTGTCTTAAAAATAAAAAATCACTTTTGGAAATGAAGAAGAAAGAGTCAGGTGTGGTGGTGCACAATTTTAATCCCAACACTCGTGAGGCAGAGGCAAGTGGATCTCTGTGAGTTCAAAGTCAGAGCGAGTTCTAGAACAGCCAGGTCTACATAGTGAGACCTTGTCTCCAAAAAAAAAAAAAAAAAAAAGATGGGAGCGGCATTGTGGATTTTAAGGTTCTCTTGGATTTAGCAATAAAATCAGCCTGTTACTTGGGCCGTGGGCATAGGCCAGCCCTCCTCCCCATCATCTTTAGCAGCTTCCTGCAGGGGCCACAGCTAACGTCCCCTGTGAAATATTCAGACTGGTTTTTACCATGGCTCTGAAGGCCATGATAGGGTGGCCCAGTTAGATAAGTAGCATGCGATTCCATTGCCCACCATGACGCTTCCTGTAGTGTTCACGCCTAAGTACTGGTGTGGCCCCTGACCCGACTTTCAGAGAATGCCAGCAGGCGCGTTCCTCTGGCTTTGGTTCCTAGATCTATTCCAGGTTGGTGTCAGTACTTGCTGGCTGTGAAGCACTCCATGGCTTTTTATGCACATTTCCCAGAATGCCCTGGATATCCATAAAATAGTGAATAATAACTTGGTGAATGGGTTACTTAGGGGATAGGATTTTCAAATGTAGGATTTAAGAAAAACTTTGGGGAGGTGAAATTTTGAAATATCGGACTAAGAATGTGATCAGAAAACTGCAGACCTTTTTTAATGGCTAGTCTTCATGTTCTCCCTGTTGCTCACATGTTTATTATACTGCTCTCCCCGACCCCCAGATACTCGCCAGAAACTTGAGACACCTCAAAAAGAGAAACCTAAGAAGAGCAAAGAAAAACACAAGACCAAGAAGGAACACAGACGGAAGAAAGAGAAGGTGAGTCCTTCCGGGAGTGGAGAGAAGTGTGCGTGTGTCCTGAGAAGCCCAGAGGAGCTGCTGGCCACAGGAGGGACATGGAATCAGTCACATGCAGTTCTAAGTCTTTTTTCAGAAACTTTGTTTTCTTTTAGAGCAGCACATTTTGAGTAGTTGCACTTGAAAACAACAACACAAAGAAAAGAAAACCTTGCCTTAAAACAAACAAACAAAAAAAAAAAAAAAAAAAGAAAGAAAGAAAGAAAGAAAAGAATTTTGTGCCCAGTCAATCAGGCATGGTGACATATAGCTGTGATTCCCTGCTTGAATGGCTGAGGCAGGGAATGAAGAGTTTGAGGCCAGCCTGGGCTACCTAGCAAGATATGTCTTGAAAATATAAATAATTTGGTAAAGACTAAAAAGTGGATGGATGGATGGATGGATGGATGGATGGATGGATGGATGGATGGATGGATGGGTAGAATTCGGGTTTGGAGAGATGGCTCTGGTTAGGCACACTAGCTGCTCTTGCAGAGAATCAGAGTTTGTATTCTGGGACCCACATGATGGCTCACAACTATAGCTCCAATCCCAGGGGAATCTGATGCCCTCTTCTGGCCTCTGCAGGCACTGCATACATGTGGTGCACAAGACATACACTCAGGCAGAACACCCATACACATAAAAATAAAGAAAAAAAAAACATTGAAAAAGGGATTTGAGGTACTTTATAGTAAAGGTTGAGCATTAAATAATAAAACTGCCCCAACCATCTCATTATCCCCACTGACAGAGCTCTTGGTCCATGGTAGCCGTCTGAAGGGAAAGAAGCTTGAGAAGAAGGACCGGTGACGGACTCCACTGTCACTGTCTCCTCCCTTGTCATCCGTGTGCCTTTTCAGCTCAGAACCTACGTCTGGTTGGGTTAGTGGCGGGCGCCTGTGCGGCGTGCGCCTGTGTGCCCAGCTCAGGAGTAGAGTCCGTGAGAAGCTGCCACTGCTGGCCACAGGAGAAGGCAGGCCTGAGCGCCCGTGCGTTCTAAGCCTGCTCTTCAGTGACCTGCCCCTTCCTCTCTCTGCTGCGCTGATGCCCCTCCTGCTGTGTGGTTTCATTTGTCCAACAGACTAGTCAGGTTGGTAGGAGAATGGGGGCGGAGCGTCACAAGGTCCTGCCTGCATTGTGTGGCTCTGCTGTGTGTGTTGTTGAACTGTTGGAGAGATCAGCGTGTACACGATTTAATGTGTCACGGCTGTCAGCTTCTGGCTGTCACCAATAAGCCAAAGTGAGCTCCAAAGGAGAATTTTAAATTTTTTAAAGTTTTAAATTTTAAAAAAAGCTTTGTTTTTTAACAACTCCAGCAACCAAACACATGCCTGGTATAGGTGGTTCTTCTCTTTCTTCTCAGCCCAGGTCATTGTCTACGACAAGGTTCTACCTCTGAGCCAAGTTCCCGGCTCCTCGCAGACAAATTCTATGCATGTAACTGCTGAGCCACGCTGCCAGCTCCTCACTGGGGGTTCTAGGCAAACACTCCACTGAACAATAACCCAGCTTCACTGGCAGATTCTAGAGCAGAGCTCTACCATTAAGTCACACCCCATGCTCCTGGGTTAGCTGTGTGTGTGTGTGTGCGCGCGCGCGCGCACTCAAATGTGTATATGGAAGTCAGAGGTCAATATCAAGCATCATACTCAATCATTCTACACCCTTTTTGTGTTTTTTTGTTGTTGTTGTTTTGTTTTGTTTTTGAGACAGAGTCTTTCAGTATAGCCCTGGCTATCCCGAATTCACTCTGTAGACCAGGCTGGCCTTGAACTCACAGAGTCCACCTGTCTCTGCCTCTTGAGTGCTGGGATTAAAGGTGCATGCCACTGTGCCCAGCCCCTTCCACCTTATTTTTTGAGCAGGGTCTCTCTGAACCCGGAGCTTGCCACTGTTGGGAAGGGGCCGTAGACCGGGGCCACCACATCTCTCTTTTCCGTATCCGAGCTCGGTCAACAAGAACTGTGCCCCGGAGCCACTCCAGCCCTGCTCCTCGTGTCTTCATCTCATCTCGTCCTGGAGGAAGCCCTTTGGTTCCTCGCGTCCTGACCATCGTTCTCACTTTCTTTCCTAGAAGAAGAAGCACAGGAAGCACAGACACAGGAGTAAGCCGAAGAGTAAGAGGCTGGAGAAGAGCAGCACCTCCGACAGCAGCGACAGCAGCGACAGCGAGGAGGGGGGCGCCGCAGACCTGTCCCCCCAGGAGCTGCTCAGACGGTAGGCCCCGGGGAGGGCGAGCGTCCAATATACAGTGGACACAGCAAGCGTGCTTTGAGGTCAGTGTCAGAAGTGCGGGGTTTGTCTTGGGGTGGTGGCACTCGCCTGAGACCCACTCTTGGGAGGCTGCGTCAAGTTTGAAGACAATGTGTGCCACATGGTGTGGTATTGTGTCTCAGAAACCCAAAGTGGGGGTGGAACAGAAACAGAAGAGATATTCGGGCCCAACAGAACAAGCTCTCTTCTCACATTAACCTCCTCCATAGCTCCCATTAACTTCCAAGACTTCTGTGCAAACACACACGCACACATACACATACACACACAGAGTCATATACACACAATCATACACATGCATGAACATACATACACATAATCATATAAGCACACATACTCACAAACAGAGTCATACACACAGTCATACACGTGTAATATACACACATGCAGCTATGTACACATCATATATACATTGCTGTGCATGTTTAATATACACATTTCAAGATTGATTTCCTTTGTGTGTTTGAGTGTCTGCCTGCATGTGCACGCAGTGCCCACAGAGGCCAGGAGGAGGTGTTGGATCCCTCGGAGCTAGAGTCACAGTGGTTGTGAGCTGCTATTTGGGTACCTCGACTTGAACCCAGATCCTCTGCAAGAGTAGCAGGTGCCATCTCTCCAGCCCACCCACCCCCTTTCAGACTGTGACGTGGATGGCCTCTAGCCCGGTCCCCCGCAGAGCCCTTGTCCCCTCTGGAAGCTCACGAGCAGGTCCTGCTGTCCTGCCCTCCGTCCTTACTGTCTTCTTCACGTGCCCACCAGCTGGTCCATAAAGGTCTGCTGCCTTCCAGGGTTTCTCTATCTTACAGCTCATTCCTCCCCCAAACCAGTTCTAACTGGTGAGCTCCAGTCAGGAGCCCCAACCCTTGGTAGCAGTTTTCTGTTTCTCTTCTATGCTGTGAGAAAATGACTGACAGGGAGCAAGCTGAGGAAGGATGGAGTCGGCTCACAGTCTGGTGGTGCAGCCCACTGTATGGGACGGCCCCTGATCACTCTCCGTGGATCTGGTAGCAGACGTGAAGGCTGGCACTCAGCTGGTTTCCTCCTCTATCCTTTTTTTTTTGTTTGTTTTGTTTTGTTTTTTCGAGACAGACTTTCTCTGTGGTGTTTTGGTGCCTGTCCTAGATTTTACTCTGTAGATCAGGCTGGCCTTGAACTCACAGAGATCCCCCTAGCTCTGCCTCCCAAGTGCTGGGATTAAAGGCGTGTGCCACCACTGCCCAGCCATAATAGCATGTATTTTGTGTGTGTGTGTGTGTGTGTGTGTGTGTGTGTGTGTGTGTGTGTGTGTGTTTTGTTTGTTTGTTTTTGTTGTTGTTGAGACAGGGTTTCTCTGTGTAGCTTTGCGCCTTTCCTGGAACTCACTTTGTAGACCAGGCTGGCCTCGAACTCACAGAGATCTGCCTGCCTCTGCCTCCCGAGTGCTGGGATTAAAGGCGTGCGCCACCACCGCCTGGCACCTCCTCTACCTCTTTTTGTTAAGTCTGGGACCCCAGCCCTTGGGACATTGCCATCCACATCCAGGGTGAATCTTCTCAGTAAACCACTCTAGGAACACCCTCACAGAAGACCAAGGATGTGTCTCCTAGGTGATGCTAAATCCAGTCAAGTTAACAATGAAAATCAACTATACACCCATTAATTAACCCTGCTCGCACTTGGTACCACCCTCTTTGTTTAAGACAGGTCTCACTCTCTAAGCTGGGCTGACCTGGAACTTGCTGTGTAGCCCAGGCTGGCCTGAAAGCCATGAAGATTTTGCCTTCCCCTTTAGAAGGCTGAGATTGCAGATGTGAGCCACCGACCCTGGATCTGACCTCAGCACTTGAGCAGTGGGAGACTTACCCTACACAAGGGGTCACACAGATGGAAGCCCCTCAGTGTTTGTCGGGAGAGTGTGTTAGGATGGACAGAAAACACAGGCAGGCAGCCGTGTGCTGCTTGACATGTAAAATGTATGTAAAATGCTGGGCGGTCTACAGAGTGAGTTCCAGGACAGCCTGGGCTACACAGAGAAACCCTGTCCCATAAAACAAACAAACAAACAAAAGAAATAGTATCTCATTATTTAGCCCAGGCTGGCCTCCATCAGGCTTCCTGCATCAGACCTCTGAGTACTAGGATTATCAGTGTGCACAAACATGCCCAGCTCCTACTAAATTTTAGTTTTATTTCAAGGAATCATGTTTCATTTAGTTGTGTGTGCTTTTTCCCTTGTAGTATTTATTTGCAATGCTGAGGATTAAACTCAGGATCTCATGCACGCTAGTGCTGTCCCACTGAGCTAGGCCCCAAGCCCTAATGGAATTAGGTTATGTGAGCTGGCTTAGGAGATGCTTCTGTTACCTAGGCAACAGTAGCTGGTTGGTCCTTGACTGTGTAGTGTTCCTTTATGTAAATGAAAAATGGAGTGTTGCCTGCTCTGTCCTTGGTTTTCTCCCTGGAGTGAAGCCCTACTCTGAGTCCAGTCGAGGGGCCGTGGGCTTCCTTTGCAATCATCTCTTCCCTTTTTTCTTTCCTTTCGTGAGCCGGTATTGCTATCTAGCCCATCTGGCCTCGAACTTTTGATCTCAGCCCCTGTGTGCTGGGATTACAGGTGTGCACCACCATGCCCAGCTCCCACTTTCGTGTATTTTGAAATTGAAATTTTAGACTGATGACTCGAAAGCTTTGGGCCCTAAAGTGAACATGTTTTTGTTTCTTTCCAAAAGTCCTATGATGGATGAGGTGAGTGTGTGAAGTTGGCATCAGAAGTTACTGTTAGAAATTGATCCTGATGTGAGGTGAGTTTGTGGGTCTCGCTGTGTGCTCTGGAGAGAGTGGAAGAAACATTTAAAATCAGGACTAAGGAGCTAGAGAGACGGCTCAGTAGCTCTGCTCTTACAGGGGACCCTAGTTTGGTTCCCAGAATCTACAGCAAGCAGCCCATTGCTGCCTGTAACTCCAGTTCTAGGGGAGCTCACGCCCCCCTCCTCCGGACTCTAAGAGCACCTGCACTCACATGTGCGCACACACACATCACACATACACACACACACACACACACACACACACACACACACACACACACATACAGGCATGTACACATGATGTAAACATGATAGTAGTAAGTCTGAAAAATAAAATAAGGATTAAGGCCAGCTGTGGTGATTCATGCATGCAGTCGCAGCACTTGGGAGCTGAGGCAGGGGGATTGATGTGCATGTGAGGCTAGCCTGGGCTCTAGTCTAAAGCTTGTGTTAGGGTTAGGATGTGGCACAGGGAGCCGTCTGATTTTCCGTTGTGACTCACACTTCTTTCCCGTTCTCTACAGACTGAAGTGTCTCCCCCTGAGGAGGCAGTAACACAGCCCTGCCCTGGCCTGCCTTAGTCTGGAGCCGCCCATGATGGAAGTCTGTATTTCCCTGCTCACACATTGTACAGATTGTATTTATATGTCAATTCCTGCTGTAAAATAATTTTTTAAACCTTGACATTTCACAGACTGCCCTGAAAGGTTGCAGAAATTGATTTCTATTTTTAATGTCAGTTCATGTTATAGGGGTAAAAAGACTGAACAGTTTAATTAAAGTGGCTTTTTTCTATGTGCTTCTTGATTTCTCTTGGAATTTCCTGGAGGTTTTAAAAAGAAGAGTGAAGGCTTTTCTCTGGTGTTGGTGTGAAGAAGCTGAGTTCAGTAAGGGCAGCTGGGACTCAGAAGAGGAGGGTGTGGGGAGGAGGCTGCCACTCTTGGGGGGGGGGGGCACAGACTGAGCAGGGCAATGGGTCCCACAGGCCAGCTGGAGAGGGGCAGGATGGAGGTGGGGGTGGGAAGGGAGGGGCAGGTGGTGGTGGAAACTTCCCTGAGCCAGGCTCTGATTTCATCCCAGACTGTGAGGGGGAAAAACCCCCAAAGTTCGGAGGACTTTACACAACGAAACAAACTTCAAAAGAAGCAGGAAGAAAATCACGCTTGGTGTGACCACATAAGAACCCCCCCCCCTCCCGCATGTAACTATCATTGGATTGTGATGAATCTTTCCTGTATAAATGCACAAGTGGTCTGACCCTGGTCCCCAGAAGCTGTGTCTCATTCCATCCAGGCCATTCCATAACTTCGGGGCCATTTGTCGATCAACTACCAGACACAAAGTGGGTGTGCTGTGAGCCCCTACACAGGCAAAGGACAGAGACTGACCTGTGTCAGGGAGCCAGCAACCAGGAGGGCACAAGGGTAAGGTTCCTGGGTTTGGACCTCAGTCTCCTTCCTCATGTGGCCAAAGATCATTTCTAGGGGTACTCTGTATGGGCGGTATCTTCTATTCCCCCCGCCCCCCATTTTCTCTTTCCTCCTCTCTCCTTTCCACCGGATACTCCTCCCTTCTCTCTCTCTTTCGAGATTGAGTCTTGCTATGTAGCCCAGGCTAGCCTGGAAAGCAGCAATCCTGCCTGAGTCAGGAAGGGGGTAGGTAAATGGCAGAACCCAGAGCAGCACGTGGATCCGAAGGGCTCAGCACGGGTGTGGGCACGCGGTGCCACCGTTCCCCGCTGGGCCTATGACTGGCCTGTGGGGCCGGGCACGCACCAAGATGGCCTCACCACCAGTCCCCCGGAAAGCCTCGGTGGACACCAGGAAAGGTTCCGTAGAGATCCAGAAGGGTTCAGCCGTGACTAGGAAGGGCTCTAGAGACAGCAGGAAACTTTCTGTTGAGATGAAGAAAGACCCCGGAGAGGCCCAGAAGGGTCCTGGCGAGGTCAGGAGGAAGATCTCGGCACAGAAGGAGTCCACGGGCACGGGGTCCAAGAAGTGGAGTTCGGGCGAAGACAGGAGGGTTTCGATCGACAGCATGAGAGGTTCATTCGAGAGCCGGAAGGCCTCTTTTGAGAGCAGGCGAAGTTCCATTGAGGGCAGGAGGGGCTCGAGCGAAGGCAGGGGCAGTTCGTCCTCCATCCCTTCCAG